TTAGTTTAGAGCTAAAAAGTGTATAAACTTATCCCTCGAGTAATTGCAATCAATTTGAACACCGAGACATCTCGTAGTTGCCAGTGAATGGGTTAAGAAGTGTAGGTTATTTGGTTTGCGAGCTAGAGTTATATGGTTCTGATCTGGATTTCCTGATATAGACTATCCTGTACTGCTCTTTGAGAGATTTCGTGGAATGAAGGGTGCGTTTAAGGGAGTCCTTTGGGAATAGCCTTGGTGGAGAGTATACTAAATAAAAAGCACTTCTTAATTTTAATTAATTGCGAATCGTAAACACGGCTTTTTCTTTCAATTTTACGTTACCGTTGATGGTTGAAACCTTTCTTACAATTAGGTACGAGTTGGATGTGTTCGTGTTCGTTATCCCATCAATTGGATTCCTGCGCGGGACGTCTCATTACGAGTTAGACGGTACAGCCCAGCTTTGTATCGCGTTTACATGCGTGACTCTCGGTTAATGTAGGTTAGTCGAAAGGTGCATTGAACTTGTCGCCATGATGTGAGTGTTCCTAAACTCGTACGTCGTATAAAGTTATTTTTCAGCGCAGTACGACTCCCTTTAACACAAACGTAAACGTTTCGACCCCCGAATCTGAATTATATTGCAAGCCACGTGTCTCGCTTGAAATCAAAAATATTTCCAATAGTTTTTAATACGTTTTAAACGCAAAGTTTGATTTTGTACCATACAGAATTCTCGTGGAATTTCTGACAGGTTTTTACCGTGTTCCTAATCGGTTCTATCGCGCAATAGAGGGTTAGACACACACAGAGCTGATTGTGTAATCAATATGCTGACGGTTGATTCGCTGGGAATTGACAGCGTTAAGTCTGATTACGAGGAATCCGATACAGACCGTGATGTTAGACAGGACGCAGAGGCGACCTCGATCCCTCTTGACTAGAGATAAGTGATGTATCATATCTAGCAGGAGGCTATTGGAGAGACGAGCCACGAATTATCGGTTAATTGAAAATTGTAATTGAAATGTTGAAGCTAATATAGTCGGCATAGCCTTAACGAATAAAATCAGCAAGATAGAACTAGAAGCGTCGTAATTTTTTCTCGACTCGCACTACAACGTTTTATTAATTCTCATATTCGAAGGTTTCCAAAAGTGCACCAAAAGAGCAACAGGCCCAAAGAGACATTAATTATTCCAAAATAAATTCGTACGACGTCGCTATAAAGAACCGAACAGCCAGTGACGTCAATTTACAAACTCAGAAGCGTCCCACTTAAGTGTCCAACATAACTCGGAAGCTCAGAGCTTAAGAGTTCCGACGACATTAAAGCGATCGGAAGGTAGGAAAGTTTTCCAAACTCTTCTGGAACGCTTGAGAGCTTCCAAGACAGCTGGGTGAACTTGTTTCGTCTATTCGTTTAGGTGATCGGGAACACGAGATGCGGGTTAAGGGGACGTAGGGAGAGGTGGAAGTTCTGCGCGACGCACGTGGAATCTCTCACGGGGTGAGAATAATAGAAGCACTTGGCATGAGTGACGGGATCGCTGACGTTAATTATCTTAATGAGCTGGGGAACCCGTCAACGCGAGTGACGAAACTGTTTTCGCGGGATTGAACCGCGGTTCTTCGTTCATGGACGTCAAAGAACGTCTAGGGCCATTATCGAGCGTCGTGTTTGGAAGATGAAGTGAAAGGTAAATTTGGCTCGCCGTAGAATGGTCGTTTATTGTATAAATTTGAACTGTTCCCCGTGGTGTAATTGGTGTAAACTTTGCTTGGTTGGACGAATATTGGTTTGATACTAGTAATCCCTCGATTTAAGGACCGGATTTCCCCCTCGATGTTAAGATATGAATCGTCTCTGCTAATGTTTACCTTTAATTATCGAAGGGTTCAATCGTCTTTAATTGCCAACTAGTTTTATTGGTAGTTCAGTGTGTAAATTTAGTTTGATGTGGTTAGGTCTGGTTCTTACATAACGCGTCCGACCATTACGCGTCGTTTCTACTTTCGTCGGCGTTCGTAAACACTGACGATTGACAGCGGCATGCTATTATCCGTTTCCTCTCGGTCGTGTTATCTTCCAACTCGTTAGAACTATTCCAAACGAGTAGTATTCGTGGCATCGTCGATGTTCACACATACTGGCGCAAGTAGAAATAGTGAGTAATGGGCGGACGCGTCAGCCACGTTGTACTCGATCACGCGCGTGCCCCGCGAATGTTCAACATCGATTTTCTCGGAAAACCAAGCCTTGTACGAAAAAATTGCGTCTCGTATCTTCGGTTTGTTTTTGAGTGAAGAATCACCTCGATAAATGCGCTGACTCGAACGTTTAAATTAAAGCGTTGAGAAACGATGGAAGCAGAACAAATCGAGTGAAAATATTGAAAATGCGTAGCTTGGACTCTCACTGGTAATTTTAGAGTATTTTCATATACATATATTTTTATTGATACTTCACTTTGTATTTGTTTATTTATCACAGAGAAAAATTGTCAATGTCAGTTTTTCCGTATGAATTTATTTCGAATTGGTTCGATACAATTTTCATTCTATTTTTCACGACTAGTCCATGATAAAATTACTTATTCTGATGTAAAGTCGTTGCTAATGTCACTTTGAGGAGCTGTTCACGTCAGATTTTTACTCCGGGTGATCCTGTTTTGAAGTCCGCAGACAAAACAGCGTCGTTTCATGTTTCTTCGTCGTTCAGCGCAGGTGACGAGTGCCACGTTTGCGGCCGTGCTGGTTGTATTATAATTTGACGACAAAGAAAAGAGCGAGGCTCTGACGGGAATGTGAGAGGAATAATGGCATGCAAAGTAACGATACCAAGAGGACACGTTTGAACGCGCGGAACAATGCCTCGGAGAAGAATGGCGTGACACGCCGGAGCCTGGAATTTAAGAGAGTAATCTCTGAAAATGTTGGCAGAAGAGAGCGTAAGAGTAATCAAATATTTCCTTGGGTTTTGTTAGGGAAATGGACGTTGACTGTGAATATCTGCCATTGTGTCAGATATTATTCGTCTGCCGTGACTTCTTCGCTTGAAATATTCTTACCGTCACTGGTAGCCCTTCGCTGGGTAGGTTAAAAAGTAGATAAATTTCTTCGGTAGACAATAGACGATGCGCGAATGGCTGTATATAGTATTTCAAGCAAAAAAAAATTCGATTTTTTGAAACGACCAAAGTGGTGTAACCCCTTGAACGAAACATAGATTTTTACAGACTCTCAAATTACTCCTTTCATTCGGACAGAGTTTACCACTTAATTTCCAAAGTCCCCATAAATAAGCACTGAAACGCAGTATTCTAGAAAGCTTGAGACTTCAACGAAAACGTCGGGTTCGCGTGGCGAATTTTAATCAAGAACGAGCCGAGGAGGAAGTAATCCCGCGGCCAATCGATAACCGGCGTTTATCACTTTCTGATCGTGGCGTGAAAATACTGAATTATTTCGCAGCCCGGCTACGGGTTGCCATAAATAACGAGAGGCCGGCCTCCGCGAATATATTCCCTCCCCCGAATAGAGTGCCAACGTAACTTACGCGCCCAGCTTTATCATTATTTATTACCCTAACAGCGCGAAAGACGCGAACCTGGCAAACTTATTTCAACGAGCAACTATAAAAAACCCGATGAAGCAAGGGACAGCGCACTCTGACTCGGAGGAGTCAGCCAATCCGCCATTTTTCTTCCGTAGCGTGGATTTATCCGCGCGTTTACGCGGCCACGACTTCTCGCGAGTAAATTCGCGCGCCTCTTGATCCGCGGAAGGAAACAATGCTTTCCGCGTGTAAACAGAATTCGCCCAGCAGTCGTGACGGGATCACGATCGTGGACAGTCGCCGACGAGGATTTAGAGAGTAATTTAATTTCCAGCTCGAGAGGAGAGCTCTGCGTGATCTGCAGTAAAGCATACTTAATTTTGTAAAACAGGAAGACTATTTCAGACTTTTTAGACTTCTTCGGCAGACTATTGCCAAGAAAGATTTCTCTATAAAAAGATTTCTTTATTTACCAAGAACTTCTCGATTCGTCATTTTTAACGTAGCAAAGCTGTTCCGCCACATTTCGCGAAAAAGATTTCTCCATTTTCCGCGTTTCTTGCTTTACTCATACGAAACCATAAGCAATTTCCGCGAAACATAACGATTAAATTTCCACGTGGAAGCGCGTTTTAATTTGCCGCTTACGAACAGACTTCCCGCTAATTCTCCCCTTTTCTTTTTTTTTTTTTCTTGTTCGAGTAAATTGGACCGGAAAATCTTGCGACTGTGTCTTGGTAAAAATGTAATTGAACCGGCTCGCCCGTTGGAAACGTGGCCAACGCGAAGAGTATCGGAGTTTCCTTATTCTTCCCTCTCTTAATATTCCGTCATGAAATTATTTCACATTTCGCGGTAACGCGTTATTCCTCTGGAATATTTGCTTTCGTTCGGCGCCTAGTGTATTTAAAATGATCAAGTTGCATTTGTAACGCTCCTGGGTATCCTTTTTCTCGAGAACGGCAAAGAAGATTTTGCTTAAGTCTGTTTGCAAGTAGAACGGGTTTAAATTTTGCAAGAGGAGGCGAAAGATTGTCGTAGGTGGAGAAGTTAATACCTTCTTTTGATATAATACTTTGAATTAATTATTCACGTGCCTCTTTGCTCTGTGTCTACCTGGGTTATCCTCAATTATTAGAAAGTTTCATTTTTCTGTTTTATTCCTTCTAAACCTATTATGTTATAATTTTAACAGAACCATAAATTATAAATAAATTTTCCTGAGTCGAGCAGTTCATCCCGATATTTCGCTCACTTTATAATAAATCAGACTTTTCCTGCGTCGAAAATATTTAGCTTCCCCAACGTCGGAAAATTTAGTCTCCCTGTCCTTCGTCGAAGGGTTGACTGAGAACGTTGGATGTTTCTTGAAAATGTTTTACCGTCGTTCGTTTGTTCCGCGTGGCGTTTTCCCGTGGCAGAAATAAGTCTCTCACGAAGTCAATTCTTTGCATTGCAGGAAGATGCGGGCACGGGTCTCCCTGCGAGCAGCTCTGCTACGAACTTCACGATGGAATGTACGAGTGCGACTGCAGGGACGGGTACATTCTTCACAAAAATGGGTACAGCTGCGCCGGTGAGTCTGAAACTTACTAGCCATACTCGAAAATTCTCGCGCGTCTCTGCTCCCCGAGGTTCCTTTTCCATTCAGAGGCAAATCTGTCTATGGAATTCGTTCATTGAAAATAGCGGGAGCTATTAGGTCTGGGCTTCCTCTGTTTTTAACAATGGAATTATCGATGACAATGCACACGCGTATAGTTTATTTGTTAAATTAGAGGAAAATTGAAGGGAATCAATTTCGATTCTATTTTAAACTCGGAATTAAAGAATTTAATAAGAATTGAATTGAGATTGAAATTGAAATTACATCGAGTCACTTTAAAAAGATACTAAATGATGACAATGTTGAAACGACGGACGGCGTTAAATAGGACTATGGAATATTTCTATCGAGAAACACTGTTCCTGGAGGAAAAGTTTCCCCCACGCCGTGAGTGATGAATTCGCGATTTCACGTGAAACGATTTTTATCGTTTCGGTTATAGCTCAGGCGAAAGTTTTCGGAGGTAAGAAAAGTCAGATATCCTCGCGTGACTTAGAGGTTAGTCATTCCTTTCTTTTATCGGCGAAAGAATGTCTCGCGTAGGAAGCCATAACGAAGAGAAATAACAGTAGACATCGTTTGGAAAGGATTATAATTCCAGCGAGCCACTATTACTAGGGACGAATTTTCAGTAAAAATTCGAGAAGTTTTTAATCGGGAACAAGACCTGTTATCGTTTCCTTAATAGTTGGAGAATAAAAAAAAACGAGTAGAGATTTTCATTACATTAGAAGTTAAATTAGTTTTCCAAAAGCAAATAGTTCAATTTACTAAATAGATTACTAATTCCGAAACGAGGTCTAGAGGCCTTTTCCTAATCTGGAAAAATAAAATCTGTAATTAAAATCAATAATAATCTAAAATATTTAATACCTAGATTATTCTTTTGCAAAAAATTAAAATAACCAAAACTGATAATAAATCAAGTTCTTTAAAGCGTATAAATATAAAACTAAACCGTCCACCATTCGCCATTGCAAAAATATTCGCGAGAGCCGACTCATCGTCTTCGTCTTTGTCAAACCAGAAGCACAGCCTCCCCCTCTGCGGAGAACCGAGAAATAAATCAAAGGGGCATCGCCTAGGAAGCAAAACCAAACTTTGATGAAGAGTCGTTCACCCGTGAACTGCGTCAAGCTTCTAGAACGCGGTGGCCATTTTGAACGCGGTTGAAGGACCTCGCAGGACCTCGTTGCCCTTCGGGGGCTTCCGCAACTTATCGGACCTGGTTAGACGCGAAACGTCATCGCGATCTTTGATATAAGGGTCGTTCGAATCGGGAACGAACGTGGCTGCATATGGATGTTGCCTCTGAGGGAACAGCTCAAGCGACGAGTCCTGAACGAGTTCATCGGCTCGGAAGCGAGTTCGCTTTATTTCAGTAATTGAAGCTCATAAAGTAGTTTCATAAAATAAAAACGACGTCGGTGACGGTCACGGCTGGGCTGCAGCCATTTGGCGCCGACTTGACAGCATAATTTCCCAAGTTTTCCGAGTCTTCGATTCGATCTTAATCAAAACTGTAAAAACTTCGATATTCTTTCGAACACGAGTTCAGCAGAAATTTCCCGAACGAAGCCTCGTCGGAATTTCAACCTGAACTAGCACCGAAGTCAAATAGCCTGCTTTCTCAACAATGTTCCGCAAGTTTCCTCGGGTTGGTACACCGAGGCAAGACGTTCTCCAATGGCAACGATTCCTCAAAACTCGATTACTTATTTCCAAGCCGATGAACTCGCCCTGGACTCGGCCGGGCTTCCCCCTGAGACTGCATCCTTGCAGCGAGGACGTTCGTTTATTTAGTTTTTTTTTTTTTTATTTTTTTTTTTATTCGAATAGCCTTTGCATCAAAGCACGAAAATATACATGTCGCTGATAGGATGCTATTCGAACGAATTGCGGGATCGTCGGAGACCATTAGTGAAGAAATTCTTGATTTAAAAATTGAAGGAAGGCAAACATTGGCTAACCTACAAAATTACAGATATAAATATCGAATACCTTCTTTAACATAAAGGAATCGCTTTACGTGTAGTCAAGAATTCCTTAAAAAATTCATAAATCTTCTTCCACGATACAAATACCAAATACCTTCTTGAATTAAAAAAGATCTACACTCGTACCTATTTACACCAATTTGACCAACTCATTTCCTCACAGATCCACCTAAAATGTCCTCCATTAAAAATTGTCCCTCCTGACACAGAAACAAATCATACATCGATCCATCCCATGAATTTATCTTCCGGATTTGTTCGAATGAATAACCGAACTCCAGCCCTCCCCGCTTTAAAGGGTGAAACCTTCCAGGCCGAGTTTCAGGCGAGATGGATGGATCATATTCGTGGCTCGACGCCGACGCCGAAAAGGCACTCGAATCCGTCTTGTGTTGGCGGCGGAACGCGTCAAGCTTTGACAGGGGATCGTTTCAGTTGAAAATGCACACCGTTCGTCGAGTATAAAACGATTGGCCCCCTTTTGCCACCTTGGCTACAGTTCGCTCGTTCATCGTTGCAGGTCGTATTGAAATAGCTGGCACGGGAACATGGCTGTACCATTGAAACTTACACGCGCTGAAAAGATTATCGGAAACCCGTTTGTCGCGCGCTCGGGACGAGGCCGGTTAACATTTTTCCTGACGAAAACGACGCCCGGGGAGCCTGTTTGCTGTTTCATTAGCTGGACCGTCGAGCCTCGAAGTCGAGATATCGTACCTAATTCGCATACAGGGGGGCTGTCGTTTAGATGACCCCGTTCGATGCTTTCGAATGGTGGGAAAAGGAAGAGATAACCGACCGTAGATACCGCGGAAAGCTTTCGTATTACTTTCCAAGACCGTTTTCAGAAATTCGGTTCTACGAGGAAAGAGATTTTCTTGCGCAGTTTCGGTGGAATTAAAATTTCCATGCGGGGAAATGGAGAGGTGCACTCGGAGACTCCATTTTTGTTCCGAATGTTAAATAAGACAGTTATTTTTACAGTTATCGCAAGAGGGTTACGTGGACGAAACAATGGAAGATATCGAGGAAGTGTCTTCGATAGAAATAAAAGAACGAAAGACGTATTAAAGTTTGAATAATAAACACAACATTGAAAAGGAACCACATTCGTACGTCGAGTAGAGCATAGAACAGGCAAAAAATTCGCACATCAAATTTCTAATATCTAACGTTAATCACCAAGCACGTTAATTTAATTAATTTAAGCCTCTCCTTACGCTGAGACGATCCCTAATAAAATTGGATCGTTTCGTACGAAATACCACCACATGTTTTGAACCGCGTAAAATCGCAGTCATGCAATAGGACAGATGGATAAATCGTCAGGCGTGCTGGGAATTCTATGACATCGAAATTACGCGGTAATGATTTTATCGTCTATTTTATTTTCTTCGATCAGGGGGTTATGAGGGCGCGGAGGAGGGGAGGGGGACTGGGGAGGCTCGAGGGTTAACGGTGATTGGATTGAAAATGAAATTATTGGGGCGAGCCCAGCCGAGACGTTTACGGTTCATCGTTGGAGGTGCTCGGAGGAGAGAGTCGAAGGTCGATTCTAAGTGCCACCGTATTAACGCGCGTTACTCGATTAACGCCGTCCCGAACAATCGTTAGGCGAGACGTCTCGAGCCGAGGAAGGGGCGCAAGAAACGTGAATGGGAAAAAGTACAACCACGACAGCTGCTAATGAGAGCGCATTGTCTCCATGTTGTGCTCTGCGCTGCGCTGCGGAGCCACTCGTCGTCGTTGTGCCCTGTTGTGCGATAGGAAACGTGTATGGTGCAACAGTGCAACCAGGGCTGACCTTACTTAAAGGATACTCTAAGAGGAGGGTCTTTAGAAAGGCGAAAGAATAGATGACATTAGAGCATGGGGTGTAGTGCATAGTGTATAGGACACGAAGCATATAAAATATGCAATATAAAACATAGAGCATAAAGCGTAGAGTAATAAATCGTAGACTATAGAGCTTAGAGTATAAAGCGTTCAATATAAAGCGTAGATTATAGAGTATAAACTATAAAGCACAGGGTATAGAGTATAGAATATAGCGTATGTTACTGTCTTTTTCAAATTTGTAACGCGAGTTGATGGAAAGTGCCTAAATATGAAGTAGTACGAGGGTGTCGAGGATTCTATGGTCGGCCCTGGATATACCTGTTCTGTTCGGTGTGCACGTAGCGCAGAGGGTCTCTCGCCAGGACCATGTTGTTCTATTTACCGCTCCCGCTGGACCTCTATGATGTTATTAACGTATACTTGCGAGGCGCAGCGGTGTTTTTAACAACACCAACGTTGTGCCACGGTGCGTGCATTACGCGGTCGATCTGCAAAACTCCGCTGGAAAAAAGGAGCCATGAGAGGATTACAGGAGTGAATTATAATCCTCGGAGAGCGGACGTCCTTTTTGGGCGTTCCTTGTTTTTTTTAATTGCTAATGTTAACGATACCTCTTCGATGTAGGAGGAAATATTGGCAAAAGGAATGAAATTTAAACGAAATTTATTAATTAATCTTTAAATAAAACAAGCGAATGCGTAAAATATAAAATTTCATATTAGTATATAATTAATTTAATATTAAATTTAATATTAAATATAAATTTATCCAAACTCCGTTATTACGATGAATTTTTCTCCTCGTCTGGATATCCGCGAGGACTGTTTGCCTTTTCCGTCGATCGGCCGATTGAATGAACCACCCAAGGAATATCGATTGATAAGGAAAAAGCAAGAGCCCCGAGGTTTTTGCTCGCTCGCCGTAGAAATATTTTGCATTCGTTGTTCCAGTTTCGCCGACTCGATCCTCCTGGGGATCGTCGAGGTAGAATGGTTCGTTTGATGTCCGACATCGGTTACATCCCGACTCGACGTCGCAAACGGGGCCAGAAATTATTATTTATAGGTTAATTGGGGATACGCAGTGTTTGAGGAGAGCCGTTGCTGACCGAATTCGATAAATTCCTTTCGTCGT